GTGCCACTTCTGCCTCTTTCATCGAAAGTGTGTGCTCTTAGGAAAGTCACTGCTCCTTCTTTAAGTTTCTGTTTCTCCATGTATTCAATGTTAGAATTTTGCTAAGTTATTTATTAGGATCGTTCAACCCTAACTTACATGAGTCTGAATTATGATACTGAATCAGCATGCTTCAAAAGATCTGTAGATGGAAGCAACAAGAATCCTAGATTCTCTTATTATAAGTAACTTTCTCCAGATGTGGTGAAATGTTTAAATGTTTAACTGACTGAGAAGACAACCAATCTGTATTATTTTCTCCTCCCTCCCACTTAGGAAGGGAGCCCAGTTAGAAACATGTTTGTCTGTGAGGCAAGGTGTCTTGTGTGGCTGAGAATTCATAGCTCTTATATAGGACTGTGGAGTATTAACTTTGAGTAGGCTCCTTGGACTCAACCTATTGCTGTTTGAGGAGGTATCATGAAAACACACTAAAACTACTTGGAAATAAACATTATCTGTTTAAATCTGTCACCTTGACAGGATCTTAAAGAACAGAGACTAAATTGATGTGTTATATTAAGTCTAGCATGACCTTGAACAACTGGTTTTATAAGGTTGGTTATTGTGGGTGTCACCAGTATATAAAGTAAGCTGCATCTCCACGGGTTCAGTCCTAGAGCACCAGCTGGTGAGCAATGCACAGTGAAGACTTGTAACCAACATATATCATGAAGATAGCCACAGTGCCAATACTTCTGACCCTGGCTCTTTGCCTCAAACAAGGTGAGCAATTTACATGTAATCTAAGCCTCTTGCCACATATTACAAAGCCCTGGGCAGAGACCTGTCTCCTTCCTCTTGCCCAGTATTGAAAATATTCAATATTATATATGTATATGTAATTCTGAAATATCTTGCCAGACACAGTTTTAAAGAATTATATATGTGGCTTTATAACTATGTTTTGTTATCTTTTGAAATGGCAAGTAGTTTGAGATCATCTGAATTTTATCCATAAGAAATTGTTTTACTAATTAATAATATATTAGTTCTAAAAGATTCATCTTCCTCTTTACCAAGCATTTCAATTCACACTGATATGAATTGTATATATTATATACACAATATCAAGCATATCAATTCATACTGATAAGAATTGTGTATATAGTAGATATTTAAAATTTAGATGTATATTATATATATTTAATACCATATTTATAAACAAAATATTTAAAAATTAAATTTAACCATTGTCTTATTTTAAAACAATAGTGCCTTCTAATTTTTTATTTTTGTGTTTTCATATCCTAAATGAATTGAAGGTTTTTCTCCTAGAAAGTAAGGGACTTTTGTGGAAGCTAGGAGGTAGGTTTTTATATTTGGTACTTGATTTGAAGGGGATACAGATTTCCTAGAGTTATCTTGCTCTGAAACATTTACAGTTTTTAAAAAGAAACCTAAGATGGACAGTCAGGATATCATTATACACAAATTATTCCCACTTTCTTAAAATAAATGTATAGGTACAAAAAGGAATCTGTTAATGAGGGAGTGTAATAGTCTGTGATTTTAATGAATCTTAATTTTTATTAGCTCTCTAATTTTTGTAGCTGTACTAAGGAGGCGGTGTTACCAAAATTCAGAAAATTTGTGTTATGTGTATATATGATATATACTTTATGCTAATATAGTTTTAAATTATAACTGATATGATATAATTGATATTTGTTATAATTTTAACAAATACTTTGCTGTGAAAGAATTTTTTAGAAATTAGATATTTTGAGGGTGTCGGAAAGCATAATAATATTATTTTCCAAAGTAATTAGATCTTTCTGAATGTGTATACTGATCTCTTGGTGTAATACCCTCATTTTATTTGCCATAGTAAGTTTTAATGTGTTCAAAAATAATTTGTGGTTTTGTAACATATTATCGTTAAAATAAGCAAGGCACTGTACTGAGTGAACCGTTTGTTTTATTTATTAAATATTTTATATTCCCTTAACTTTGGTTTTTGTATTTTTGTCCCAGATGCTGCCAGTAAGAATGAAAATCAGGTTAGTCCTGCTTTTTTTCTGTTCTTTGAATGCATTCCAAGATCTCTAAAGAAAAACAGTTTGTGGCCAACACCTTAATGTTGATAATGCAGACATATTATACTGATAAGTACGAATAGCTTTTGTTAAAAACACAGAAACAGGTCTTTATGAATCAAGGCATGAATCTCAGACACACACACATCAACGCGTTAATCATACTGGATATTTTTAAGAGGCGATCTACCATGCTAACGGAGTGCTTTAAAAGTCCATAAACAAACCAGTGAGTTAATATTGTTCATTTTAACACCTGAAGAAGTCATGACACACATGGGAAGCAGAAATAAGTTTTCTTGTATTATTATTTCAAAAGGGGTTGTCTGTATCTTGAATATGTCAGTGTATACATCTCATTCAATAAATATTTATTGAGCATCTATCATGCTTCAGACCTTGTTTGAAATGCTGGATATATTCAAAAGTAAAGGAAATAGACAAGAACTCTGCCTTCATGGAATGTATAGCTTAGTGGAGAAAAACAGACACGTTAATAAGTAAATTAGTAAAATATATAATATGTTAAATGATGATTAGTGCTAGGAGAAAATTAAAGTAGGATGCAAGCTAGGAATTTCTGGGGATGGAGGTGGTATCACTTCTTCTTGGGATAGTCAGGTAAGTTCTCTCTGAACTTAACATTAGAACAAGGACCTGAAAGTGTTGAGAGAGTGAGTCATGAAAATATTTGCAGTTTATAGCAGACCAGGCAGAAGCACCTGTCATGGCAGATGCCCTGACTCAGGAGAGGACTTTATCACTTCTTTCTTAGAGGTCTTTTGTTTGAGAAATGAACGAATTATTTTCCATAGAAGTTGAACTTTTTATCTATTTGAAAAAAAAGTTAAGTTACACACACACACACAACTATGCCATTAAAAGGGTGCTAGGTATGTAGCAAATATTTGCTATGACTCTTAAAAGCCATAAACACTAAAATAATAGAACAGTAAAACAACACTGTTCTACAATGAAACTCTTAGAATCATGGTTTAAACACTCTCTTGCTTAGTTTATTATAACTTTTTTTTTTTTTCAAAAAAGAAACTTCTTACAGGAATGTTATAGAGAATTTCATCATAACCTCTAAGATTTCATCTGTTCGCTGATTAGGGAGCAGTTCAGAAACTTCTAGAGTACAAGTAGAGTGATACGGTAGAGTAGAGAAAAAGGCAGGATTTAGGGGAAGCAAAGAGCATGCTCACTTGGATGTTTTATACTGGCAAAAAGAAGGGCATTGCGTAAATTTCATTTTTCATTAAGCCATAATTTTTTTCAAAGTATATGATAATGGGTGGTGATTTCGACAGATATTTCAAATTTTGCATTGAAACTTTTTATGCCATTAAACTAAAAAAATAAATGTTTTAAAACCATAAATTTAACCACCTCTTATGCTGGCATAAGCAAGAAGAATGTACAAAAGTAATGATTTCTCTGGAAATATTTCTAATCACAGTCCTTGGATATTTTGACAGAAATAAAAACTATTGAGTTTGTCTTACTTATAATGCTGGAATTTTTATTTTCCAAGTTCAGTTTCTTGAGTTCTTTCTAGTACCGTAAATGCTTGTAAAATGTTATAAACATGAGCTAGAAGAGCACAGAAAAGTACCATAGTAATCTGCAAGAATCTTTACCATATATTTGTCATCACAGAGGGTTATTATAAAGCCCGAAGCAAGTTCATTAGTGCTCTAACACAGAGAAGGAGTAATGCCAGCTCCTGGGACATTTTGTTATGATGTCTTGGATGATAACAGTGAAGGAAACAGGAAAGGCTTGGCCCTAGAAGACTTCGTTTTTTCTGAGATATGGAGAAAACACAAACAACAGCATCAATAACCAAACAAAATGAACCAAAGCCTAGAAGTTAGACTGCAAGTAAACAGTTGCTGGAAAGTCATCTCCCTGCCTCAGGATGCAGTTTTGTCAAAATGTGCTCCTGTTTCAAGCCTCTCTATTATGGTAATTGGCAAGATATTACAGTTTTCCCAGAGAAAAATCCAGCATCTACTTTTTAATTTTACAAACTTTTCCTGTTTTTTAACTCAGAAAAATAGCACTGAGCTTTATCTTAACAAATTAAACACTGTGAACAAGTTTCTTACCCTACCCTCTAGGACTTGGTCGTCCATTTAAAAAAAAAAAAAAAAAAAGTGGATCTTTGTAGGAATTAAGTACTCATCTAATTGTGACATTGGAAAAGTCCAATTCAGGATATATTCTGATTAATAATGTCCTTATTCAATTAACCACTAAAGACTATTTCAATCTTCATTTCAATGTTCTCGTGAATCTTTGTTTTAAATACTTTCTTTAAAATCTACTTCACAAGGGATAGATTTCTATTACAAAGACACGAGACTCTACTCAGATTCTATGACAAAGTTTCTGTCTACACTATAGAATTGTTATATCTGGCAGGCCAAACAATAACTTGCAATGTTGGCATAAGATAATATAGAATCAGAGACCAGATTCAGATCTCAAGAGGCCCAGTTGTCAGTCTGTTGTCAGAAATTATTACTGTGCTACTCAGATAATATCTCTGGGTGGTGATAAATAATCTTAGAGATATTTTAGTAGGTCATCTTTAGCGAATTTCCCAGGGTTGGTCTCTGACATTATGTAGTTATTCTTTTCACCATTAATCCTTCTGCAAATGCTACTGGCTATCTCCCATGTTTAAAGGGGCTAGGTTATCTACATCATTATCTATTAGATGGTAAGTAACATTTCGTCAAGGATCTTTCTGCCTATTTACTGTTATACCTATGGCACCTGGCAAAGTATAATAACTTCATAATAAGTGCTTGTCGACTGATTGCATGATTATTATAAAGATTTACAAAGCTGAATAGAATTCTATAATCAATCCTTTGAAAGAGATTGTATTTGTCAGAGTTAGAGCAAAGACTTGATTTAATTTTTTTCTGATACAAGCATCTTGAAGCAAGATTTTAGTTTTTGCAAAATCAAAACAGAACAAAACTTAAAAAAAGACGTCACCTAAAGGTCCAGTGGATTTTCAAAACTAGTAGGGAATATAAAGTATTTTAAATAATAGAATAGGTGGAAATAAGGACAGTGGACAGATCTTTAAAAATGAGAGAATTTTTTAATTCATTTATTAATTTAGTATATTTTATTGAAAAACTACTATATGTCACTCACTCTTTTTTAGGAGCTTAAAATCAATGATGCGTTTGCTCTACCTAGTAAAATATTATTCAAAATGATTTCCTCTCTCCTTTCTAAATTTGGTACTGTGCTCTCATTGGCATTTACAAAAAGAACGCCAAAACCAAGAATAGCACACTGTGTCTTGAAGGATGTCACACAAAAATAGCAAAATAATAGTTCTAGAGAACATGCTTCAAAATAAAAGAACAAAATGAATGAAAGAAAAAGATAGGAAAATTTAATTAAATGAGTTTGGGGAAAATTGCGGTATTTCCATAGATTCATAAGGTTTGATTCTGGTGCTAGTGACAGTGTTGATGGTGACGGGGGTGATTGTAGTTGGGGTTGGGGTGGGAGGACTAATTAAGAAAAGAATACAAATTTGAAAATATGAAATGGCTAGGGCTGTCCCGGGATGTGAAGAGCCTGGAAACTTAAGCTTCATTAGCTTGTAGTAAGTCAGTCCATTTGTGTTCATAAGATATTTGTCAGTGGATCTGAGGTTTATTTCAGAAGAGGAGCTAGTCTAGAAATATCTTTTTAAAACATATATGACCAAGGAATCCTTTTTTCAACTTTTAACTGTTTTTCAACTTTTTAATTTAGTGACTGTTAGCATTTCTAGGAGCTGGTGTCTTGCAGTACATCCTTTGGGGTACATGGGCAGAGGGCTTTATGGTTTTCAGTGCTCACGTACTTCGTCTCAGTCTTCCAGCAACTTTTTATAGTCCTTTTTTACAACATATTACGACATGTTGTGTTCTAGGTATTTTACATGTGCCATCAACATATCCCAGTAGTCCAGTAAGGACAACAGCAACAAAAGCAACAACAAAAATAATAAAGGAGGAGGAAGAGGAGGAGAATCTACTTATTAAATATCTACTATGTATCAGGCATTCTTTGAGGGCTTTACATACTTGTAATATTTAATCCTCAGAAACCTGGGAAATGTATATATTTATATCCCTTATTTTACAGGTAGGATAAGTGAGCCTTCGAGAAGTTAATTTCCTGAGGTTAATGGGCTTGTAAATGAGGACCCTGGAGTATAAACTCAAGTCTTTTGACTCCAACTCCCTTGTTCTTTCCGTTTCACTAATTGTTTTAGATGAATGCTCATTATGTGAATTTGCAGTCTCCAATAAACCATTCAGAGTCACTATTTTTGTTTGTATTATTTGTAGCAACTGAGCAAATGAATATCTTCCATATAAAGGTGGGTAGCGGTTATTAAATAGTATTGCTCAAGGAAGTTCTTAGAAGGTAAAGTCTTGCTTTAATGAGGTTTCAGTAAACACAACTTTTTTTTCATCTTTCCTTCAGGAAACATGCGATGAATTTCGGGTATTGATGAAAAATGGGAAGTTATTCTGTTCCCAGGTTAAAAATCTTCAAATCCCCGATGGAATAACGTTCCTTAAGAGATGTGCAAAGTGCAAAATAATACTGTGAGTTAAGATTCTCTTTATTCCAGGTGTTTGAGTTACCAGCTGTTCTCCGAACTAGTAAATGTATTCTTATTTTCTGGCAATTATATTATTCTAAATATAAGTGGTTAAATAAAAATTCTTCATAGATCACTCTAGCACCTCTGATCAGATGAAGTTGGATAAGTGCCACCCACCTAGAAAGATTTTAATAGTCGCTCAAATAAGACTCCAAAACGCCCCAAAAGGCCCAGTATTAATATCTTATGTAAATCTTAATAGTCTTTTGAGAATGTAGTTCCAATTAGAGTTTCCTCGCTCTGGAAAAAAAAAATAACAATAATTTAAGAAAGGAAGTCACATTTCTTAGGCCTGTTAAGACCTGACTGTGTTATACCTTAGGGACTGAGAAAAGCTCCTTGGGGACGATGCCAAACTTTCCTTGTGGCAGCCAACCAATAGAAGAATTTACGCAGGATACACCCTGCCTCTGTGAGCTGCCAGTGTCTTCAGACATCTGGGATTATGCCAGGATGAGGTAGACTAAAGAGTTGACTGGAGCTTCCCATTACTTATAACTCAGAATTAGTATTCTGGAAGTTAACCAACATCACTGCAATGCTTTTTAACTTGATTTCCTTTTCTCCAATGACATCCCAAAAAGTGGAAGAAGGCTTGAGTTATCCATGGCAAATCCTCAAATCAAAGTGTCTCTATTTGTTTTTGAACAAGGAGGTCATTCTCAATTTCTGAGCATCATCAAAACTTCAACACTGTTACCAAGCCCATACTAAGCTTACCCACTTAAGATAATTATGTGATAATTAGCTTTTTAAATGCCAGGCTGGTATGTGTCAGTGGATTTAATTTGACACAGTCAATAATATTGGGATAATGAAGTGCTGCTTCTAGTGAAGAGACTGTGGGATGATGAAGGGAGGCAGGGCAAGATTTAGGGTGGAGAAAGCCCAAGGAAGGTTGAAGAATCCTTTCTTAATCATTTGAAAGCTGAATGTAAACCAGCAGATATATTATTTACTATAAAGTTTCCTTCTTATTATGTAGGATGTTTTGATAGTAGACTGAAACTATGAATATAATAAATTTACTGAAAACTAATTTAAAACAAAAATAAATTGATTTGATACACTTCGAAATCACTCACTCAATTGTTATTTTTATTATCTATATAAATTATGTTGGTTTTTTAATCTGGAAAAAAGAAGAATGTATGAGACATAAAGAGTTATCTGCAAATTGCTAAATTTACCCTGTGGGTCCTTGGAGGTTGGAACCGGAACCAAAACAGGTAGATTTGGGTTCAATGTGAATATGGTCTTTCAAAGAGAGCATTCCAACAATGGCACAGGTAGCTTTTAGAGTTGGTGACCACCAGGATGTTAAAAGTATTTAAGGGGGTTGTCTGTTACGCAGTTAAAGGTAGATTCTTGCCTTCAATAGAACCATGTTTGAGATATTTTTAAGCACTAAGGAAAGATTTGCGGTACCTCTAGACATCCCTCCACTCCTGACATGCCAGGTTGGGCAGAGGGGAACAGTCAGATTAAGTTTACTGTGTATGCTGTTATCCCTAAGTGTTGGGCAAGCATGTCTAAGCTATGTGGTTCCTTGCTCTCTTCCAGGGAAGAAGAAGTGCAATCCCAGAAAAGGGCTAGGCATTTAGGAAGAGCCATCAGAGCCACAGCCCCAGCAAAGGTGAGACTATTTGGAGTCAATTTGCCATATTTGCTTTCGAGGTTATATTTGACTCTATGTAGAATTGTTTATTTCCCAATTACTAGGTCCTACATGAGGTGAAGCCAACTTCTAAGAAGGAAGGGAACATGGCGAAGTCCACGGGTGGGCTAAATATCTCATACAGCTTGTTCATAACCTAACTCTCTGAAAACACTTTGGGCACTGGCAGATGCAAAGAGGTGAAATAGGCCAGTGTGATTGATGTCTGTCTTCCATGGCCATTTCTCATTCCTCCTGTCCTGTCTTAACTCCAAAAAGCCTTCATGGGATTGTAGAACTAAGTTCACATCTCAGAGTTCTTAATTATTGTTTATGTCACTTGGACAATTTATGTATCTCTGGGTCTCAGTCTTTTCATCTGTGAAATGAAATGTGGATCAAATGAGAAACCAAGTTTAAAAAGCCAGATAGTGTTTGACCTGTGTTAGTAGGCGTTCGATTCATTTTATTTCCTTTCTTATCTCCTTTTACTGCCTACCGTATATCTTTCTTAATACCTACAGAATTCTCCTAATTCGATAAGAGTTGCTTGTTTCTACCTATTTTCCAGATTGGGATTTAGGCCACTATTTGTTTGAAAAAAGTGAAAAAAAATATTTTTAATAAAAAATGTTATGAAAGAAAGTGCACAGATGCAACCCACCATTCCACTTGACAAATATTTTTTATGCATACAAAAATTTTTATTTATACAAAAAAAAAAAACAAAAATTCTAGGCCCCGATTGGGGAAAATTTTTGGCCTACTATGTTTCACAATAGTTATTGACAAAGCTGGGGCTATCACCAGGTATTCTGACAAATACTCAGGATAATACAAGCAAATGATGTTACTCCAGGTCTCCTATGTAGCTTCTTCTCCAATATCTTTTTTTCTCTTCCTCCTTTCCTGTCCCTAACACATAATTAAAATGATCTGTCAGGGCAGCCACACCCAAATTGCTTTAAGGTCCCTGCTCTAACCAAGCTGCCATCTTCCTTGTCAGTGTCACTCAGGAATGTGTGAGAACCTCAACCTCCGCAGAAAATCTAGTCAACTAAATTCTTTGCCTGGGCTCAACCAGTTTCACTTTTAAAACAGTAACACCCTCACCACTCAATTAGTCAGTCTGCAAATCCTTTGTCTGAGCAAAAGGGAACTGCTTCTGTGTTCTACAAAATCTGTGGGGGTCAGAAAATTTTACTAGTAACTTTCAAATCTGCCTTTATTTGTCACATTTGGAGAGCAGCTCATTCTGTGAGATTTATTCTTCCCCTTCTCCTCTTCTTTTTCCTTTATGAAAAACTGATAAGTCAATAGTGTTTAAAAATTCAAAATATAAGCAAATGACATAAAAATAAAATACACATACCTCCCAAACCTAACAGACTTGCTATTTAAAAAATATTACTGGTCCAATGTTTTCATATGTAGACCACATTTACTGAATTTTAATTAAGTAGGATTTTTAAGAAATAAAATTACAGAATTTTAAGACATCTTCACTTCTCTGTTAACATTTTATGCCTGAGTATTTTCACACCTAGGCAAAGTTCTTACAGAGGCATGATTTGCTTCCTAGGAAACCACTTACTTATAAGTGAAGGCAATTAATGTTTGGCTGTGTGTGTTTCAGGTAATTTCTGTCTTTAAATAGATTCATGCAATTATACCATGCTTTTGTTGGTATTTTTCTCTCTACTATAAATGAGAAAAATCTACCTACTTTTTATGCTTAGATTTCTCCCATCAAAAATTAACCCTGACACTCAAAATAAGGTGATCTACCTGTTCAAGATTTTTCCTCCGATAGACATCCTTTTTCTCTTCCATCATCAATTTCTTCTTCACTAGTATGTTATTCTTTCACCTCCCAACTCTGATATCCGATCCATAACTAAGTCTTGTTAGGACTGTTTATAAAGTATATCCCAAATTTGACTCCTTTTTACCATTTCTATTTCTACCATCTCAGTCAGATTCTTCATAATTTCTGATATCTAATATATTCAGCCCATGCAGAGACATTTGTTTGTTAATTGGCTGATTGATTCATTCAGTGTTTCTCATTGATTTAGGTTGCCAGCTTTGTAAGATATAAGTTCATATGTGTTTATGTGTGTTTCTGAGTTCTCTATTCTGTTCATATTAGTTTATTGCTTTAATAACTAATGAGGCAAGTTTCCTTTTTTAGTTCATCATATTTAAAGTTGATGTACCTATGCATATTTTTTTCATATATTTATTAGAAATTTAAAAAACTGCTGAGTTTTTAGGATATTCAACTTGAGTTCGGGAACCCAAGGTGATTAGGGATACAAAGGATTTATAAGTTAATTTGAGTAAAATTGGCTTTTTATAATATTAACTTGCCCAACTTAAAAGCACAGAATACCTTATCATTAATTTCTATAATTTCTGTGTACTTAAGAAATTTATAAAGTATTCTCTATAGTGATTTTTATATACTTTGCTAATATCTAGAAAATTTGTAAATGTTTGCTATTTTGGTTGATATTTTGTTGTTTATGGTATTTCTATCTGGTTATTATTGGTATAGACAAATTTATTGCTACAGATTGATCTTATATTGGACAACTTTATGATATTTCTGTTAATTCTGATAATTTGTTAATTCTTTTGGTTTTTTCTTTTCTTGGTTGTTGATCACATTATCTGCATATAATAGGAGCAAAGAGGAGTTTTATAACTTCTCTTTCAATTTTATATTATATTATTGGCCAGAATCTAGAGTTCAGTATTTGAATATTAGTGATGATAATGAATCAAAATGCCTTTCTCTGGTATTTCTAAAGTTTCTCCATTAAGTATAATATTTACTGTAGGTGTTTTTCTATAAACTTTAGCAAGTTTAGAAAGTTTCTTTATAGTCTTAATTTTCTGAATATGTTTTGATCATTTTCAAATGCCTTCTCTGCAACTATTGAAATAATTTTCTGATTTTTTTCCTTCAGTCTATTAATGTAATAAATTTCTTGATAAATTTGCTAATGTTAAACAATTATTGTTTTCTTAGCATAAATCATGCTTAACCATATATTTTTAATATATCGTTGAATTTGAATAGTTAGCATTTTATTTAGAAGACTTGAAACTATTTTCATAAGCAAAATGAGTCTACACTTTTTTCTTTTTAATTATTCTTGTTTGGTTTAAGAATCAATAGACAATTACTCTGAGCAGTGGCATTTCAGGCTCTGGCTGAATAAGAAGGTCAGCAAATCTTTTCCTCAAAATGCAACTGTAAATCTAGGCAATTGACCAAAACAATCGTAGGACTCTGGAAATTGATGAGCTGCCTATGTCAATCTAATGAGCATTAAAGCTTGAAAAACTGCTAAACATTGGATTCAAACAATGGGAATTTGCAGTATTCTTGCTTAGGGATACTGCCATCTCACCCCTGTTGCTTGCTTGGCATGGAGGGCCTACCAAAGCAGGGAAGGCTGTGAGAGTCAGCAACTGCACTTCCCTTGTTGAAAGGGGCTTACATAATCTGAGCAAGTGGGCAACAATCATACTCAGAGCTGTTTTCAGTGGAAGTCATAACCTTCATTAAGAGTAAGGAGAATGGCCTGAAGTTGTAGCATGGTTGATTGAGGAAAACATATTTTTTGGCTGAGTTTTCACACATTGCAGCAGAGGCCAAAGTGGGACCAAGCAATTCATAATCCTGGCCAACCATAAGGTTATGCACAATCACTTAGAAGACATTTAAAAAATTCCAGTGGAAAACAAATGCTGATGTAGATGTAAAAATGGCCTGAACTTTGAGCGCCCTCTCAATACACTCAGGCCCATCTGCAGAGGGTGGAAACCTTACTGGCTTGAGGTGTTTGAGCAAAAACTGTGTCAATCGTTGGCCTATCACTAAGTTATACAGATATAGGGGAAAAAACTAGAAAGCCAGGCTAAAAAAACAAAACAAAACTATAAATACTTTCTTAATGACACATCAATAGCTGCACACTATGGGAGAGCAAGAAATCAGAAAAATACAAACAAAAACGAAAAATCAAAAATAATCTTTATAGTAAAATAATAGTTCTGAATCTCTATACTATATTATCCAAAATGTTCAGTTTTCAACAAAAAAATATGAAATATGCAAAGTAATTGGAATGTATGACTCATATACAGAAAAAAAAAGTCGATGGAAACTGTTTGAAGATTTAAAGAAAAATATGAATAAAAGAGATTTTCAGTGAAAAAGTATATATTTGAGATAGAACAATGGTTCTAACAATAATTCAGGACTTAACAGGTTTCAGCTAAAGCAGTGTACAGATATATGTATCTCAAATAGAAATAGGAAATTCTGGACTTGAGGAGCACAATAACTCAAATGAAATATTCAGTAGAGAGGCTTAAAAGTAGCTTTGAGATTGCATAAAAAAGAAATAGTAATGTGTAGAAAGATCAATATGTTAACAATGGAGGTATAGAGAGAAAAATACTGATGAAAAATAAACAACTTGTGATAACAATAAGCTTGCCAATACAACTAGGAATACCAGAATTAAAGCAGAAAAAAATATTTGAAGAAATAATGGCTTAAAATGTGTCAAATTTGATGAACAAAATTAATCCTTGCATTCAAGAATTTCAAGTCCCATATAGGATAAATTCAAGGGGAGCCACACCTAGGCTCATCATGAAAAATGTTAAAATTAAGATAAAATTTTTAAAGTGTCAAAAGAAAAGTGACATAGTCTATATACAGTTTATAATTAACCACTGATTTTTCATCTAAAATAATGAAGACTAGAAGGCAATGAAATGATGCATATGAAATATGCTCAAAATGATGAAAGAAAAAAAATTTATATCTACCAAAATTTTTCTATAAAAATTAAGACAAATAAAGATATCCTGATATCAGTGAAATCTGAGAGAATTTGTTGCTACAAACCTGATTTAGATGTAGTAATGGATTAATATGAAGTACTCTAAAAATA